CCTGGCAACTGTCTCCAGCGGCAACGAGGAGGCCGCCATGGTGGAGAGCTGACAAACCTCGGACAAACGGAGAGAGTTAGGGCCTGTATGTCTGTTTGTCTACTAGGGATGTAACCAGGCACATATTTTTAGGTTCAGCTTGATTTGGATTCAAAATCCTACAGAGCTCTAATTATGTACTACACAGATTTTGTGTTGTATGAAGTATCAAAGTCCAATACTTTTTCAGTACTACAACATCAGTTCTCTAACTTTTAATACTATCATTTTTTTTTATTAAAAGGCATGGAATTTGATGCAGAGTGTAAAGTTTCAAAATGTACAATTCACCCCCCAGTCTGTTCAGTCTGTATCTGGAGACTATGCTGAAAAAACAGCCCATTTTAAAGTAATTGTTTTTGTGATGTCACAAAAACCAACACATTTACGTGCATACCAGCTTACAGCAGTTTAGTCCCATGCATGCTGAGGTTACAAGGTGTGTTTCAAAAAAGTACTAAAATAGAACTTTAATAAAAGAATAAATCTTCAGGGATATTCTTACACATCTCTGAAGTTCGGTCTTAGAAGTTGGTTGCATTTTCCACTTCTCACAATCCAACTAATCCCAAACACATTCAGTGATGTTGGGGTGTGAACTCTGGGGTGGTCAGTTCTAAGTTTTCTTCTCCTTTCTTTGTTTCCTTTTCTCAGTAAGGGCTTCTTGACAGCTGCACATCCTTTCAGACTCATAGCGCTGAGTTGTGTTCTCACAGTGGAAGCATAGACAGAAAAACCTGTGGATTTCTTCAGATTTGAAGCAAGAATGGAGCTTGATTTTCTCTCAAAGATTGAAGGTTTAAGTATTGTTTATCTGATTGTGACAGTTTTGGTGGCCGGCCAGGTCTTGCACAGTTGTTAGGAGCCCAATTTTCTTAGTATCTTTTAGTATTTTTTGAATGGTAGTTTTGGAAACACCCGTTTCCTGTTTTGCTAATTCTATTTTGACTTTCCCCTTCTTAATGGTCGTAGATTTTCTCATATCTAATTTCCTCAGAAATATCTCCTGAAAATAAATATCTTGTATTGAATGATTGGTTGAGGGGTGGTCTCTGACTTTTGCATGCTAACAATATATAAATGAATGGTTAGAGTGCTTCTAATAATTAGCATCCAGCTACTTGGCCTGCTATGTATATTTAATGTATGTATGTGTCTATCTATTTATGTATCTGTATGCCTGTCTATTAGGGCTGCACAATATGGACAAAATAATGAAGGCAGAAGTAAATGTGGGAACTGAAGCAGCTCTTTCAAGGAGCAGTGACTAAGGGTTTATTTCTTCTAGTTAGACACACACTGTGGCAGTAATGTATGCACGTGGAATACATCCTGAGTTCTTTCTAATTCTAATATTCTCTCTCCCTCTCACCATCTCTCTCTCTCCTGAGATAATGCCATAATTTACAGCCACGTATTGTGCGAGATAAATGATGGCGGCTTTTCATAGCTAATGGGCATTTCCCTTTAACAAATAATAGGCCCCATTCTAACAGGGAAAAAAAAAGAATTGCTATCAAGGGGTATTTCTCACCTTGACTTCTTATTTTCCCTCTAATGGACATAAAGAGATTTTTCTTCTTTTGTAGACGAAATACATTGACACTGATCGAGAAGTGCCTCAATTTTGAGGATCTGCTCATGCTGATGTATCTTTTTGAAACAATAAAATTTCTACTGTTTTTTTGGAGTGAGAAATCATTCCTGTCATCTTAAGTATCCTGTGATATTATGCAATTTGATTTTGAGGAAAGCCATATATTCTTGGCACAGTTTCTTTTACTCTGATCGCACATGCACGCATGGTTTCTAGCAGCAGTGCTGGAATCTCAGCGTCCCTCGAGGGTTCCAATTGACTGGCTACTGACCCTTGCTGCCCTCGGACTGCTGGCCATGGCTTAAATGAGAGGCTCAAGGGACACATCAAAGGCCACCGAGGGTTAAATAAGCAGAGACGGCTAGTACGCTACTGACCAAAGACACTACTGATTATGTACGGTGCTTATAGTGTGCTTATGTAAGGGCCAAGTAATTGGGTCATTTTCTGTCCACAGTCAGTGTCGATACAATGATAAAACCTTTATGTTGAGCGTTTTTTTTTTTTAAATTTAATACCCTTTGCTTCAGTGCTCCATATTAACATGCTTGTCCGCAGGAGAGATGAATTCAAATTTTGCTATTTTCTGTATTTCTTGATTTATACTATTTGTGAAAATTATCCCATTTGCCTTCTTTCACATTTAAATAAAACCAACATAAATAAAAATATTTTTTAAAAATGGAATTTCACATGGTCATCTCAAAGTACACCCAATGTTAGAATAATAAAATGTTTTTCATTAGGGTTTGGAAAAGGTTTGAGGAAAAAAAGGGACCTTCGCAAGCTTATGTGACCATGCTGCATGCTTTTAGATCACAAGGGGGCAGTCAACTCTGTCCAAAACCCAACCAATTTTTGAACACAGCCTTTTGGTATTGCAAAAAATCTTTATTTCCTTAATTTTCTTCCCTCTTCTGTCAAAGCAGCTGACTCTCTTCATGTGGTGGTTCATTCCATTTTCCCCAATTAGATACCATGCATATCTTCATGCACGTAAAGCCATTTGTATATGACAATACACAAAACAATTAGGTATTTTATATTACCATCAGTCAAATCCAAACAGTCCCTCTGACGAAGAACAGCTTCCTACAAATAAGCCGTAAGGGTTCCTGATCTGCTTCAAGTGTCCTTTCTGTCCTTATTCAATTCAGGACAAAGAGAACGAGGTTAGGGTCAGCCATTATTACAACTTTCCAGTATTTATTTCCCCTCTCTCAACAGAAATGGCACAATCATGGAATCCTCATTATCTGGCGGTAGACGACGACTAGGTGATTAAAAAGATACCTTCCCCAAAGCTCGTCTCTGGCTGGAGTGCTTGGGAACGATGATCCACCTGAAAAGGCCGCATGGTGGGCCTCAGTGAAGACCGTGGGCGTGAATGGAGCCCTCTTACAAGAAGAAAAGAGCCACTCTGACTGTTTGTTTTGGAATCTGTCTCATTGATCCGAGGGCCAGGACGAAAAGGACAGGCCCGTTGTTCTGCTTCTTCTGGACAATAGCACTCAGGCTTACCTTGCTCTAGCACTGGCCGGTGGAATGCTTTTCACTGTGTGGGATTCGGGCCACCTCTTAGTACGTACAGTATGTCGTTACTTAAGTTAACATCAAGCTTTTAGGAAACAAATCAGAACAAAACTGCTCCATCGACTTCTGATCATAGTAACAACTGTCTTTAAAAAGCTATTTAACTGGGTAGAAAGTATTTTCTTACTCAGAAAATGCTGATATTGCAATAAATACAAATGATATTAATACAATAAGTAGTAATTTTATATGTCAACATGTTCCAAAAATCTCCTTATAGCAGTCCAGTATTATCTGTAGTTATCATCCAATACCTGGTTTGGCTAATCAATCCTTCATTAGATTAAATCAGGTGCTGGTGGTTGATTTAAACAATGGGGGACATCGAGGTCAAGTCCAAAACCAAATATTTGTTCTTCTAACTCAATAGATATTAATGACTTTTTTGAAAACAAGAATTTACCTTTTTACAGCATTGATGTTTGTTAGCGTATACTCTGATTCTCATACTATATAGTGTTTTTCAAGCAAAAACATTTATTGTCCAGATAAATGGTTCTAAATAGTTCTTAGGTGCCTAAGACTTTCGCAGAGTACTGTTTATATACATCAAAAATGCAAATTGGGCATTTGTACTGATATGAGATACAAAAAAAAAAAAGAAAAAATATTGTAATAGCTATGATTAAAGTACAGAAATTACATTGTATTACACTGTATATTACAGTTCCCCTTCAGTGGATTTAGTCAAATGTTTAAACCAAATTGATTTAAATGAAAAATAGAACAATGACAATATTTCCCATAAGATTCATTTATTAAACACAAACTAACCAAAATATAATAAATAAAACAGAAGAATAGCAGTATTTAAAAATACACTTAAGTAAGACAAACAGGGCCTTTCGGCCCAATGAATTTTTAAAAAGTGTCCCAGCTACTTCTCCACTAGAATTTGATGGAGATTAGGAAAAAAACAAAACAAAAGAAATTGTACATTTTACAAATGATTTGTCAATTTTGTCTCGAGAAATTTGAAAGAGTCAATTTTGAACCCTAAGATTATATGCTATTTGGCATTAGGGTTAGAAAATTTAAAGACATAAATAGCAAGGATGCCCAAAAAAAGGAGGTATTTAATATGATTAACAGCTTTCCTTCACTCTTGGTCACTCTTCAACTGCGTGCTAAGAATTAGAGAGGGCTATAGAAAGAGAAGAAAAGGCCAAAGCCTGATAATAACTTGGACAGTAAATCAGTATTTTCTTGCTTGCAAACAGTAAAGAGCTTACAGGGTTACTGAAGACCAGTGGTGGTCTCATAACACTTGGAAAACAGCTGAATGATTGAGTAAAAGACTGTGCAAACTAGTTTTCAGTCAAGATTTTAAATTGCTGGGAAATCAGTGTTACCACCCTAATTCCTAACTGGAACTATGGACAGTAACTGACAGCCTTTTGTATGTTAAACCTCATTTAGGGGTAAAAACAATAATTAAAGAATTAATTTGCCAGATATGCCTACCAAGTTGGCCAAGTTCATCAGCAATACATTTTGTGTGAATCAGCAGAGTTAATGAATGAATGAATTAAAAACAAATCATACGGTAAAACTACACTTGAAAGTCAGGCAGGATTGATACATTCATATTGTGCATGCTCTCCAGAAATTCCTAGTGGAGAGAGAATGAGGATAAGACTTATTTTTAGGAAAACACCAATTCAATACAAATTAAAACGGAACAAAAATGGAAATGACATATTTGCGAAACAAAATGATATGCTTCTTTTCTATGTGTGCTGCTTGAATGAGCCGTAGTGCAAAACCCATGTTTTAAACAGACCGATGCTTCATTAAATTCAGTATGTTTCGGCTTCATGCACTGCTATACTGAAGTACATGAAACGCACTGAACTCTCTTTGTAAAGAAGCCATGAGTTTTTTTTCTCCCCCCCTCACCACTACTTGTACAACGAAGAGTACATCTGAGTGTTAACACTTACAATTCACAGCAGGCCATATGGTGCGATCGCTGAGAATGGACACAAGCAGATGTTACACTCACAACAGATTAGGGGTTACAAGCATACTTGGCACCTTAATATAAAAGCTAAACGGAAATCAATCCGAATACTAGATCCGTGACAGCAAATCAATAGGGGTGACACGGGAACATGTGGAGCGCGCTCACAGGCTCTGTTTGATCACGCTGGACCCTAGATTCAAAGCGAAATGTTTGACCAGTTAAACGATAAAGGAGGGGCAGGAGAAGAGCGGAGGCCAGTGCTTTTTAGATCGTTTTCCAAGATCGCTCCTTTCTTGTTCAAAATGCCCTTTTTAGATTTATGCCCACCAGCAGCAGGGGTCAGCTGCAGCCCGCAGGCACTGATGTCTTTATACTAACGCTTGTTCCTTCACGCACACGCACGTGCACATACACACCCTCACATACAGTTAAATTAGCTCAGTCTTTTACAGTCACACATGACTCTTCATACGGGGAGGCTTGTTAACCACTTGCTGCCACCCTCCATGCAGACCAAACAAACAAAATGGACATTTAATTAGGACACACCCCTACACTGACCAGTGCCTTAGTGCTATAACCGTAGACCACAATACTCATTTCCTTCTGTTTTAACACTGGGGTGAAAATCCCCCCTACAGCATAGCCATGTTTGTATGTTGGAGGAGGCAAATGTAAAAACTGACTTTAAAAATCACGTTTATAAAACCTGCTTGTTTTTTGCACATCATCCATCTTCCATTCAGCTCAGCTCTAAAAATACAGTATCTCAATAAATCATTAGCAATGCACATAAAAAGTGTCCCTCAGTGTGTTTAAAACAAACAAAAAAGGCTCATAAAAATGTATCCCTCTGCTTATCCAAGGATGCTATGCCATCTGAAATTAGCAAAAGCCCCTTTAGGAGACACCCTTCCATTCACATTTACCGCCACTATGAACGATACATCATCATTACTCATTATTATTACTATTATTGTTATTGTTTGTTACGGTTGCCTGAACTTGACCTTGAGCCTTTAAAAAAGGACAACAGTCCATGGAGGAAGCCCGTAAAGAGAGGAACTCTGATATGGTCGTGAGAGAGATGGCGGATGGAGTTCCTGGGCCTTGAGCTGTGCAGTCCTATCTGCTTTAGCATTGGCCTTCGTGGTGGCCCCTGAGGCACACCGCACCTCGCTGACTATGCAGCCATTAGGTACTGGTGGTAGAAGAGGCCAAAGAGGGACGTGGAGAATAAACAGGCAGCGATCCACCAGGTGAGAAAAGAGAGGAGGCCACGAAAAAGCAAAGGGGTGAAAACGGTCCTCAGTCCCCCTAAAGCCACAGACAACTGGGCTACCGTTTGTGTACCTTGTGCCTCTCCTTGCCCAAGTGTGGCAGCTTCAGAGTCTTCATTCACAACGCAAGGCGAACTATTGTCTTCAGGGTAAATCCCCCAGGAATGTCCACCTGAGAGGAGACAGTTTAAGCAAAGATCAGAAAACCTGAGATTTGCGGAAACAAGTTGAAGCCTTTTCACCTTCAACATACATGCTGCAGAACAGCACACCTGATCTACTCACCTAACGTTTTTAGCAGCAAAGTCATGTGCAGCAGCATCACCAGGGGCGCCACATACTGAAGAGCTATCACACATAAGTAGTAAAAGACACGAGCGACCTGGGCAGAAAAGGGAAGAAAACATATTTGCAGTTAAAAACAGCTCATTTACACAAATCCACTTCAAAAACAAGCTACTTCAGGGCAAGAGGAGCTCATCAAACAGACTTATGGAGAACGTTCAGTGGGAGCTTAACTATGGAGAAGGGACCGAAAACTCATAAATTCCGCGGATGGCTGTAAGACCAGACGCCGCCGCAGCCATTTGTGAACCTCACTTATGGCTTGGCACATCAAACAGGCTCTTTTCCTCAGCTCAAGCTTTGGAGTGCTGGGGGTTTTGATCTCGACTGAGGCTCTGCTAAGCCCAAATAGTAGGCTCATTTTGGAGCTCCGAGGGCAACAATACCACCCCATCCTTTTTCATACCGACACATTTCTGCCATTGAAGGATGCCGCCATGCTAATGTAGCAATCTTGAGCGAATGGTGGATGTAGGCATCTGGACACATTTATACACCTGTGTCTGGTGGGGGCAGCGATTCCTTCTCATCTTACCAGTCAACATGGTACCAAAGAATGACTTAGACGCTCATTTGATGTTGGAATTGTAACAGGAGCTACATCAGAGAAAATGTGAGGTTGGCTTAATACTGGAATAATTTATTGGAACAGTATAATTGAGACAGTAGGCCTCATGATGGAACCAGTTGTAAGAAATATTTGTTTCTTATGTAGGTACAAATGAAAGATCCACACTTATGTATTAATCATGTACAATTGGTGTGCCTTTCTCTAAAGATAGAAAACTGCTTTTGACTTAAGGCTTGTATCCATTTCTTTTCCTCTGAGAAAAAAAATTATATACAGTAAACTTTATAATGTTTTGAATATCTCAAATTGCAAATTCAGCATCTCAAACTGAAAAAAATAAGCTTCCACATTTAGTTTTTAAATTAGTTTAAATATTTGTAGCTTATTCCTTCTTTTAATGCTAGAATGTCTTAGACATGTTAATTCACAAATCTTATGAGCACACTCTCTTTAACAATCAGTGGGCATTCATCTTGCAGGTAATTTACGGCACTTTTTTGAAGTTACATGCATCAGCTGAATTTGAATTGGCACGCTCATATGAGCTCACCATTACAAGAAATTTAAGAATACAAAAATATTATTGAATAAGGTCCAATGTATGCCATTAAAGAACCAACTTTCCGTTTTCGGTATAATCCAATGAGAAAGACGGACAACACAGAACAAAGGGGTGCATCAGTCCACTCACCATCTTCTGCAGGTCCACTGTGCTTATGCGACCTGCTTCCTTCTTCATCTGCTCCACGCCCTTCTTGGCCAGGTTGAGGTAGGCCTGCAGGTGGTGGCGCATCATGGCCAATCTCAGCATACACAGCAGCAAGATGGCCCACAGGCGTAGAGTGTCATATGTCTTCTCTGACATCCTTGGCATTGAAGAAAGATTAAATGAATGTTTATTAAAAGTGGTAAACATATTTTATTTTGTATTCTCTGCAATGATATGATCCTGTAACGAGTTTATCTCACATCTGATTTCGTTTTACTACAAACAGCTATTTTTTCATTATATTAGCATATTTATCATGACACGGATTTAATTCTGAAGTATCGAAGTATCTGTCAAGTGCAGAAAGCCTACTTATGGGTATGTTATGTTTTAGACGAACGACAGCAGACTTCAAGGCAAAATTCTTCTGAGAAACTATTTAGATCTAAACATGTACAGTAGTGTCTGAGACCACTAGTGAAAATGCTTATTTTGCATCTTTTTCTAACTAAATACAAACGTTTTTCATTACAAATGATAATATCAGCATACCAATCTGAGTGTAAAGTAGAATCTTTGAAAAAACTGCATGAATTTAAGAATTTCTTTGTACTTGGTACGTCCCTCTTTTGCTTTAATGACAGCATGCACTCGTCTCCACACATTTGTACAGAACCTTCAAGTAGATCCATTCTTAACAAATCAAATCTGAACATGAGCTTCAGTGGAAGAGGTAAAACCTTGTTGTACTAAGGCCTTAACATGGTTAAAATTTGCTTAAATTTGAATAGTTCCATAGAAATAGTGCAGAATCTTGAATAATTCATTTTGCTTGTTCTAACTTTGTCGTTAAAACTTCTTGTTTTAATTCTTTTAAATTCTATAACTGGCGTTTATATCCAGGTTTAAATAAATAAATAAATAAAACGGACAGATTTTCAATGTTCAACCTTTTGGATCCCACTGTAGGTGTTTTCCACTGACTATGTATAACTGTCAAACCCTACTATGTTTATAGTGGTGCCTGAAACATTTGTCCAAACCACACTAATCCTGTCAGGTTCAGACATCAATTTCCAAATGTTTCAAATGTTTCATATGTTTGTAAAGTATTTATGTTTTAAATGTCGATGTCGAAAAAAATAAATAAATAAATAAAAGTGTAAGCTCTGTTTACAGGACACAGTAAAGTTTCTTCCAAGTAATTTGGGGCATTTCTGTTGGTCCATTCACCATGAAAGTTTCATACAATGTAAAGGACAGCCACTGTGTTCAAATGATGTAAAACTTTTTTGGACAGCATTTTTCCAGATTACAAGACATTTGGGATGTTGTTCAAAAGCACTGCTTGATAAATAAATCTGTTAAAGCTGTATTTAAGCTTAATTTTGGATGGCTGATTATTGTATTATAGTATATTATCTTACATTGTTTTTTCTTTTATTTATCAATGATCTAATTATTATTATTGTCACTATATAAGAGGGTAATTGGCGCTATTCTATCAGGTTTTATTTGGTGTGTTGGGCCGATTTGGGGGGGCGGTTATATTTGCAAAACTTAATGTGGTTTGGATTGAGCTCAGACTTAAAACTCAAGCATGTCATTAAAAGTAGTAAATAAAATCACTTATTTTCATTGTTGTAGTTTTTCAAGTAAAAGCTTCATTTTGTGAAAATAAAATAAAATCAAATATCAAAACAGAAGTACCCAGAGAATACAACAGTACACGCTCACAAGCAAACACAAAAGTTCTTCACAGCATCAAAGCTACACAAACACTGAAATGGAAATAAAGGAACTTACAAAGGCACACTTTCTTTCCCCAGTGTGGGATTCATTATGTAATCCTTGGTTATGGGCTTCACCCACAACAGGACCATTATAAGAGGGGCCAAGAAGTTGATATGCAGCAAAGTCCTGCGAAATGTCCAGAAAAAAAGAGAAACACATACTCAGACTCACTCAGACTCTGTCATGAATCCCCGTAAAACACATGGTCTTAAGTGCAGTCCGTCAACAGCCTTGGAGCACTTCTATCATAAAAGTAGTCCCTAGCGAGAAACAGTCGTGGCTCAAGCTCAGGCTTAAGCCAAGAAGAGTGGTAGAGACGGTGGATTTAAAAAGGACAGGGGATAGGTTGGGGGTAATCCAGGCTAGAGAAAGGGGTAACTATAAGCTGTGGAGTGAAATGGGAGCAGGTCTGGAGAGCCGGCCACACTGAAATGGATTAGCTGAGGGAAGTGTGCAGCTCCTGACCCCTCATCGACACCCTCTCCTCTGACATACACCCTGGTGCCTCACACAGGCTGAAATGGAGACTAGGTCCATCTGTAATAATACTCATCTGCTGACTACAAAAGGTGGAGGTCATGTGCTGATGCTCTGTGGAGAATTATGTGCAAATGCTAATGCGGTTACTGTGACCAGGTCGTTTTTGCCGCTAAAAGATGAGCCAGTTGGGCAAACGTATCAAACAGTGGTCAGGAAAATGGACTAGAGAAAAGAGGTGGAAAGTATTATGTATGAACAATTCTGTGTAGTACAGCTGCACATTATGGCCAAAATAGCAGTATTGTGCTTACATATGTTACATATACCAAATGCAATACATCTTGCAATAAGTTAACAACTGGTGAATCAATAATAGGTCATAGTTAAAAGATCCTTCGAAGATCTCAGTATTACAAAAGCTAATATTGCTAAAATTTGGAAGTGTTCACACTATAGCAGCAAATGCAATTATAGTACTTCCCTTTATATATGCTGGAGTGAGTTTATTGGTGATCTTTTGCAAACTTTGGTGTTCAAACAATGAAATTGCATTAGACGGCATTATTAATAGAACGTCCATTAACATGCAGCTCTACTATGTAGACATACCAATATGTTGAACCAAGATTCGCAAGATTTACTAACTGCAGACAGAATAACATACTACTGACATGCGAAAAAAAAAATTCATTAGACCATTATCTTTACTGTAGCTTTTTATTACAAATGAACTTATTGTGTTGCAGGTTATTTCTAGGATGGCTTCTGAAGGCACTCACTGTGTCATTTTGCCAGTGTTCAGGGTGAGGGCATCAAGATGCATCTGGGCCAATCTTAGACCAGGGAAGGTGAGGAACGCTCCAATCAGAGAGCAGAGCAGAGCCAGAATCAGCTTAAAGGTCAGTTTGGATATAGGGCCCCTGGAGAGAAACAGACAGAAAGCAAAGCCTGTTCACAGCAGGATCGCACACAAACACAGACACACACGTACATGAACACCTACACACACACACACACACACACACACATACACACACACGTTACTCACTGGGACTCGAGACCTTGGTTCTCCAGAAACTGCACAGCACTTTCAGAGAAATTTGCAAAACCTGTAAAACAATGATAATCAATGAAAGTTGGCCTTTTCTAAGCATTGAGTGCAACACTCATTCTAAAAAATGTCAGGCTTTTGGCATATTCCGTGTAATAGTGTTTCCTAATCTTGTTCCAAGACTATCCTGCTACCAACACACCTCACTCAACTCATCAGCTTATTAACAAGCTCTTGTTAACCCCTCTATCGAACGCTTAACTGTATTGAACTGAGTTTGACTTGTTCAAATCTGCTGCTAGAGGAGAAACAGTGCATCCAAGTTGGACAAATGGCCAATGAAATGTATTCACGCCCAGGCCTGTCACAACCATAAAATTTTAGCTGACGATTAATTGCCGTATAAATACCTGTGATAAATTTGACTGTCTTTGTTCACTGTATGCAACTATTAAGAGTACAAACCTATCTTGCCTCCTAGCTGTCGAAACGCAGTGGCTCCCCATTAAGGAACTATGTAATAATTATGACAGGCCTAATCGTCATTTTCTGCGTGCTCCTGTGTTAAAAACCTGAAAATCACGTTCTTTACACATATATAAATCCAACATCAATATTGTTATGAAATGGGTAATGGGTAAATGAGTTAAAATAAGAACGTGCAATACCTAAATAAGGAATCTGGGAACCTTGCTGTACAGCAGAGATCTTTAAATCCAGACCTTAAATCCAGATTCTAATCCTGGATTTTGTAATCACTGGTAGTTAAGTGAACTACTGATGTGACTCATTGGCCACTCAGTGCCATATCTACCAGAAATGGCAAAATCCAGGACTGTAAACTTTATTCGAGATCCAGACTTGGAGGCCTCTGCTGTATAGGTATAGTCTTCTATGTTCTTGTCAGTTCGACCACTTGGGGTAATTCAAAACTAGAAGCTTTGACACCTAAAATATGAGGTTTCTTCTAAAACTCAAACAAGATAAACCCAAGAGGACAAACTCAGATCCAAACCTAACATCTAATCAAGATGGCACCAAAGGCAAAATATGGCTGGACTTTGAGATACAGCATAGTAGTAGGTCATAAACAAAATGGTCATACCTGTTTCAAGTCCAAACTCCAGGTAGTTCTCAGTGACAATAAGGATGGCCATGGCTTTGACAAAGAAGAAGAAGGCAAAAGTGATGCAAAGAGAGCGCTCCCCACCTTCCTCCAGCTTAAAGTAATGAGCAGTGAGGGAGAAGAGGATCTTTCTAAGGGGAAATGCGTTAAGGAGTGGTTGTACATAAAGATATCTTATGGAAAAAAAATATGGAGAACTTCAAGAACACTGCTTCGGGCGGTGGAGCTCCAATTCTCCTGCTAATCTTCTTTTTATTTCTTCCTTTTTTCCCTAGGGAAAACAGACTGATTTCTAACTTTGATTAGTGCTCATGCTTATTATCACACCTGGTAAACTTTCTATTCCTCTTATTCAGGGGCCCATCTGGGCAACTGGATCTTTTCTTACTGTGCAATATCCAAATCTGAGATAACCTACCGCTGAGAAAGTAAATGCTAACCAATACAAGGTAATACCTGTTGAATCCTACAAATCCAAAGCGCCACTTGAGGCTCAAAATCTTTTTGATCCTACATTAATATGGGCTCAAAGGGATCTGTGGACCCCTGAGAAAAGCAGTAGCCTTTGATTGAGTTCAACATCAGCGCTTTCAGGGTATCGATCTAGTTGACTACTTTCCATTATCCTAGTCATCTCTCAAGACTAAATCAGCTCATCTGACAATGTCCACCAAAAGGCTCAGCTTTTGGACTCTCTATTAGGGACAGTGCAATAGAAAACCAGTTACAAAAAACAAGCCTTATCAAATCAAAATACCAAAATGACATTTTCCAAGCTGAGAAACCTGTGATGTAAATTAATTCATCCACTTTTAAAAAGAAAGACAAGATAAAGCCTATTATCAGTGGGAGGATGCCCAGATGTGCCTTCTCATAAGGCCAGTGTGCCTGAATCTACCACAGCTGATTACACTGGTCCAGGGTCAATCACGCGGTTGCATAGTGCAAAATCACGGAGGACCGCAAAAGGCCATCTAAGGAAATGTCTCGGTGACCATCACTTTGACAAGGTCATTTCTCCATCACATTCTGTCTGGAGCTAGCCTGGAAAAAAATGGCTCTTTCCTGACCACGTCCATCCATTTGCACTCACACAGGCCTATCATCATCCTCATCATCTTCATCATCCCGCCAGCCGGCCTCCCTCTTTCCCCATTCCCTCAGTCCTTTTTCCCAGGCAAATCAGTCTGGTGGGCCATGAAAATTGGGTGTCCAATCTTCAGTAGCAGGCAGTGAGTGGGTGAGGGGCAATGCATATAGCCAGGGAGAGATTGATCCTCGTGGACTGTGCTGGGGTTAATGTGTGTGATTTAGCGGCCAGCGAGGAAGAAAAGTAGCAGGTAAGAGGCAACAGGTGCTGACTCGGGTGCCTTACATCACATAGTGGTCAAGGCCTGCCTTTCACCCAACTGCTTTTTGACCGCAAAAAATGGAACTTCTCACAAAGGAGGTTGTTTTTAAACACGTACATACCAAGAGCATCACATATTAAAAGCGTTCTTAGAGCACACTGGATCTGAAACCAAACAACAACTATAAGGTTACCAAAGCAGAATGTGAGATTTATTTAAGTGCATTTACGTCTATATTGGTTAAACCATGTAGGACTCACAGCCATTTTTACACAGTCCCACAGTCTCATGGGTCCAAAAGCAATTGAACAAATCATCACAGTCTTAAATCATAATCAAAATGGTTATGCTTAGTATGTGGCTATGAACTGCCTGAAAGAGATTACCAAGTCCAGAGAGATTACCAAGTGTTGGGTATCTTCTCTGGTGATGATGCATGTTCAGTGAAATTCAAGTGAGGTGATTGGAACAGGAGCATTGTTGGAACTCACAGGCCTGTACAAACTCCAATGAATCACAATGTTTATATTGATCAGTTCAGAGGACTTGTCTTTTGAAAAAGCTGACAATAAAATCTTTTCTTATACAATTATGCTCAGGGACTAACAAAGATATGAGGTATTTATCATGCTAACAAAAATGTGCAAATACCAGTGCATATCTTATACGCAAGTACTGATCACATGGGCTTAATGGCATGAATTTGCTAAGCATTTTGGGCATTTGTGTTCTTTTATCAGGCAGTGACTGAGAGTCATCCATTACAAAATTACAAAGTGCTTGTACAAGTTCTCAGCAGTTATGTTAATAAAACAGTTCCTGTCCTTACATCTGATTGGCCGAGCCGTGTTATAAGCCTTTGTGAAATACTTAATAAGCAATGAGTCACAACAGCCGGTGAATTATTGTGATTTTACCACAGCTAAGGGGGTTTTAAGCACAACACTATTCTATGACAAAATCCAGTACTGCACATTTCTTCAATTTATACATAGAATCTATTACAGTGGAATCCCCCATTAACTTCAGCAAGTGTCTTGTCTAATACAATATGCTGATCTACAGAATTCAAAACAACAAAACTGTCATTGTCTAAATACTTACAGACTACACTGTATATCGCTGACAGTTAACTCACGAAAACCCCAAAATGCTATAACGGTGTGGACAGTCTTGTTTTACCCTGTACTGAACCAGTTGGCCCCTGTGAAGTAAACAGCCCAGACTGTCAAGGTAAAAATTGTGTCATAATATTTATGACAGCTCTTGAACACTTTAGAGAACCACTCATATGACGAACAACTAGAACAACAACTGAGAACATCCAGATTTAACACTTCCATAACACTGAGCATCAACCTTAAAGCGTTTGACATTAGTTTTATAAAGGATACATGACAAAGGCCAGCACCAGCAGACTCCAGACGACACTGATGTTCATCTCTCCACTAGGCTCAGCCATGCAGAAATATAACTCGGTGATGAGGTACACTGCTGTTGCTGCCACAGTGAAGTCCACCAGCCACTGAAACTCTGGGAAGTAGTGCAGAGCTAGCAGAAAAGAAGAAGTGATGAGATCTTCAGTGAAGAGAGCACTTCAGAATACATAAGAACACCAGGCTTCTAATGACCTGAAGCAGACAGAAGTGAATATACCTAGTGTGTCCACTTCTGCAATACATTTTGTTTCCAGCTGAAGGTCGAGGTCCTTGGGAATGGTCAGTGGCTTGTTGTCTATGTGCCCATTATATTTCCTAAAAGTACAAATAAAAACAAAAGAGATTCATTCTGAATTGCATACAGCAGTTTTCATGCATCTTAGATTCCAGCAATTAGTTCTGTCTGATGTAATTTCATGCAACTTACCTATTATACTGGTTGATCTGAATGCAAACCAGTTATAAATCAACAAAGCAAGCTTATTTCAAAACAGAGAAATATGACAACACATTTCTGAAACTCCCTCCATGAATGGAGATACCTACAAGGCAAACAGGCTCCCAGGTTTGTAATGTGGGCCATATCAATAAGTTACAGCTTGACAAAATCCAATTACTGATACTGAGCTCTATATAGTTTCCCTCTTTTTCATGAAACAGATTCTGGTGTGCTCACATGATGATACCCCCTCCACTTATTAGAGACTGAACACCAACCAGCAATGTGAAATAGAAACAGTTCCTGTTTAATGCAACTCAGTTACTAGCGATTTGTTGGGCTGACAGCAAAGGAAATATAACTTTGTTTCCAGCGACAGGACTTGCACCGCCTTAGATCCAAAAATTGTTGGCAATTCAATGCTGAAAGGTATATTTTAAAAGGACTGGAGAAGTGAAAACAGAAGAAAATATCAATTTTTCCTCCCTCAAAGGTGGAAAGGCATTACTCACTTACTTAGTAATGCTTTTTTTCCACAGCACAGATAAAGAACAAGTCAAATATGAAATATTTGATTAGTGTGCTCTTAAGCCCAAAAGATAATAGACAGATATGCTGAACCTGGCTTGTCCTGGACTTCAGAATTAGCATTTGCACTTTTTTTTTATTTGCAAACAGCGGATTACAGCTTTTTGTTTTAAAAAACTAAAATTGGCCGAAGTCCATACAATGCTCAATTCAAACATATTTCCCCCAGTACTAAGGCCGTTTGCATGAGCAGTGGCTAGATATGACGATGAATGTTGAATCTGCTTGGAACAGTGGGGTACTGGAAGGAGAAGGGGTGGGTGCACAGGCCTTAAAAATCAACAGGGGCCAGTGTTTGAGCCTTCCACCCCATGGCTCTGGGCCAGCTGTCCCAAGGAGTCTTCTAGGCTTCAACATGGCGCAAGCACAATGGCACTGTAGGAATCACAGGCTCCTTTCGTTTGATCTCGGGGTACCTGCTTGAGAAAATGGCTCAGGAGCTCTCCAAAGAGTAGAGAAGGGCTTTTGCATGATAACAGAAGGTGGACATAACAAGGTTGAAGATGAAAAAAAAAGGCAAGTGGACACTGTCTCATTTGCTTTTTAAGGGATTATTAGCATAACACACTTGACCTTCAGCATACATCTTCACACAGACAGTAGAAAGTCATCTATGAATTAGCCCAGCCAGAACTAGCAGACAGCAGTGAGGAATTCAAACCAATACAGGAGAAACAGCACTCTCTCTTAGCGCCAGCTTGGTGTATGTTATGGCCGCACAATATGGACAACATACTATGTTGTGATTATGCAGCTACATAAGATAGCGATATGACTTGTAATAGTTTCAAAATGATGTTGAACCTTCATGTTTGACCCAAAATATTTTAGCTTGTTGGATCACAAATACCTTAATGCATTCAAACTCCCACAGAACAACACTCAGTTATTGGCTGGTAGCTAATTTTCATACTTTTTGTTTACTTACAGTGTGTGTATATATACACATACACACACATATACACACAGTGATTTTTTGACTTTTAAAATGTGAAAAGAAAAGATACATAAGCAGAAAAAAGTACTTGATGTAGTACTTGGTTGTAAAGCCAGTGCTGGAAATTACAGCTTTGAGACATCTACAATAAGACACTAATAAGCTTTTTGGCAACACTGTGGTCAAATTTTGGTCCCTTCTTTTTGGCAAGCCATCTTCAATTCCCCAAGATTACAGAGATCCTTCAGATGGGCTTACAACTTCAAAATCTTTCATAAATTTTCAAGTCAAGGATACTGTCTACTCTGTATCACACAAACACTCTCATCTTCTTTTCTAGCAACCAGTCTTGAATTATTTTGTTTGTATATTTGAAGTCTTTTTCTGGTGTCTTTTCAGGGTCACTGAAAGAAACTCTCACCTCCGTACTTCACTATGAGTATGGTGTTCTTGGGATTATACACTCAACCCTACTTTCTCCAAACACGACGAGTTGAATTATTGCCAGTATTGCTTATGTGGAAATTTTAGACATGCATCACTGTGCTTCTTTTTTAGCAGAAGAGTTTTGCGTGGGGAGTAGAAATAGAGACGACTGAGGAGCGGAGCAGTTTACTGCTTATTGTTCTCTGCATAGCTGCTGTTTCTGCTCATTCAGGTTTCCTGACAGCTCTGTTCACGTGACTGCTGGCTTCTCTCTTACCTTCTTTATCATCATTAGTCTGGGAGCACGTTTTGCAAAATCTTGCGTGACGCATCTGTTAGGGGACGACTATGTGTAGTCTAATGAACTTTCCACTTGCATGTTATCACACCAATTGTATCGACAGGGATGTTTAAGGTTTTTGAGAACTTAAGAAAGCTTCTTTACCATTTGCCATAATTGCTACTTGCTGTGTGAAAATTTTCCAACCACAGACAAGTGCAATTTACAGCATTAATATTCATAACTGGATTTTAATTTCTTCATGGCACCTCACACACACACACACACACACACACACACACGCACACACACACACACACACGTCTCAGCTGACTTCTTCAACCCTCGACATGCATTTCAACTGAACACTAATGTGTCCTTACCTGTCCTTCTTGTTCTTCCCTCCTTTTTGGTGCTTCCCAGCCAAGCTCCTCAACTCATCTTCCGTTGGATGCTGGTACCAGCGCAGACTGAGACATGCAAAGCAATATAAGAAGAGTAAGGAAAGAGTAACAATGTGAAATGAGCTAATCTTATTTGTAGCATTAGAAGACAAACATTTAGCACAACCTCCTCAACTTTGTTTGGAAACCATCTTGTCACGAGCCCTGAGAGGGCTGTGCTGGTTTCAGTTGTTTTTTTATGTTTATTTATTCATTAATGAAAACTTAATTATGGAACTCTCCAGGGCAAAACTTCCAAGTCCTGCACTTGAGCCAGGAAAAAAAAAGTTTCACAGCCAAAAACAAGTACTGATGAATTATTGAGCCCGTTCTGAGGAGCTGTTTACTCTAAACACATATGGCGCTAATTAGGGGGAAGCGGGCGTGGCTCATGGTGGTCCTCTCGGGTTATTCCACTTTTTGATGCTGCCTTTTGGTTTCCTGATGAGCCATAATGATGCATCTTTGGTAGGCCCTTAAAACTAACAATAAAAGCAAAGGACTTGCGCAAAGTAGATTATGCTGATTCCAAAAGAACCTGCCTTTGAAACAAAGTGCCGAGATGCGATATTAGTTACAGCAATGGAGGGGTCACGATAAAGCGTTTCCTCATTACCTGCCACTGCAAAGGAGCCATCTTGCGAAGGAGTAGTGAGGTATAATTTTCTGAATCACGCAGGCCATTACCATGGTAACCACCAGCTGCACGCTGATCACACCCTGAGGGGAAAAAGGCATGAGAAAAAAAATAATAAAAACAAAAATAGGCTAATAACATTTAACAGAAAAAGACCTGTTAAATATGTATTTAGTTACATTAAAACAGAGTTTTGATTACATTTATTTTAAATTCTATTAACTTTAACTTGCAATAAGTTATTTAAAAGGGGGAAATATCCAGCCATGTCAACTGATGGCAACACTGCAATAAAAATTCATTCACTATTCTTAAATATGCTTGAGGATGATAAACTTTAATTTTTTTGGATGATCTTTTACAGTTACGGACAAAGACACGGTCAGATATCAGACAAGATGAAAATTCTTCTTGCATTTCAGAGAGCCTGCTGAGCCAAGAGAAAAGACAACAATTTCAGTTTCAAAAACAGACTGCATATTGCAAATATTCAGTCAAGTACCAAAAACCATAACTGCCATTTCAACCCAGCATCAAACTACTCCAGCTAGTGTGAGAGGACTACTGCCATTGCTGGGCAATCTTACCATCCACACCAGTGAGGCACAGTCGGTGTCCTGCACTTGATGGAGAGACAGGAACCTGCATTCAAATTACCTCCGATCTCTGCAAATTGCTATGTGCTTGGCTAGCCACTTCAGAAATCACAGGGATTTTATGACAACATGGCTGGCAAGCCACTCTGGTCTGGTGGAAGAGGAAATCATCAATGAAGGCACAGGTGTTCAAGTCTATGAGAATGACCTACACAAATTTAATGTCCAAATGCAGAAAGAGAAACTGATCTACCTGTCTCTTATAGGGTCTGCAAAAAAAACGAACATTTTTGATAGCTGATTATTCATGTGAATTAAATGACAAATAATTAATTAATCGGCTTAAATATGGCCTAAATAAAGCCGAAGAGCTGAATCAATAAATTAAAAATAAAATAGCAATGTTCCGGCAAACTGAAGTACTGTTTACCAAGAGCTAAACTACCATGACGAAAAGAACATCACATGCACATAATTTTGAGCTACAGCAAGTAATAAGCAATAGCTAAAAATAAGTGATGCCATTAAAAAAAGGGAAAAAGTATATATTAACATGAGAACTCTTGAAGCTGCAGCATCATTAAACCAGTTTAACATTTTAATATGCTATTTCACACTACAAGTTATATGTGAATAGTTTTTCAGGACAAGCAGAATTCATTTCTTTTCACAAACTATGATTACAAAATAGTTGTATTTTAACCTAATTAACCAGTTGTATGTAGTTAGCTAACTAGTTGACATGCACCACCCATCTATTAATGATGTCAGTACAATGTTCTGTCGGTTTGATCAGCAAAAACAGCGAACAGCGAGTAGTATGATAAGTAGTAGTAGTAGTATGATAAGTAGTATGATAATTAACAAAATAAAACCTTCTACAATGATAAGACATTATGTCGGGTTTATCAGCAGAAAAAGCTAATTGAATTCTGTAGCTATATTATGTACAGAAAATGGATTAAGTGATATGGCTATTGAGAAAGAAAAAGAAAACAATGATTCTGATACTGTATTAAGATTCCTCTTAACTCAATAAACAGAAGCAGCCAGGTGTTAACGTGCCAGGCTGCTCCTGCCATTGTGGCAGAAAGTGCATGTGCATGTGACGTCACTGTGGCTGAGAGTGCATGTCTGCAGCTAGACTGTATTGGGACGAACTGCCAAATGTTTAACAGTTTTTTAACAAGCCTGCTAAATACATCTAATTAACAGAAACTGATAAGGCTCACAGTATTCCAGTGACTGACATTAGTAATGTAACAGGATGAGCTTTCTTTGGACGTCACTTTGAAAAAGTAAAAATCAAAAATGGAATTTTTGGGACAAAATTATCGATATTATGGATAACGTCAAATAACTGTTTCAGCCCTTGTTCCTTATGCCATTCGGCCACAAGAAATCATGATGAATCAACACTTGTTTAATTGTAATGGGATGAAGTCAATGAAGTTAACTTTTCAGTGATTTCAATGAATAGACCATTTTAGGGTTGATTTTTGGACATAAAAACAAACCCCTTTCTTCTGTTTTAAGGCATAGTTAATAACGTCAATGGCATGCACTACAGATTTGTAGGTTTGTGGGCCACACAACTGGCTTGTCTTCCATCCTGTGCAACAATCATCAAATGCTCAGTCTATTGGTCAACTAAAACTAAACAGTCTAAGCAAAAAAGTACTCTCTTCGTTCTCCTTTTTGCTTACATTTGACTACCAGCCCTATGAACTACCCCTGCAATGACTAGGACGTACTAGAATTTTATGGATAACTTCAAGAAAGCCATGCAAACAAGAAGAGCATCATTCTGACACAAGTCCTGCTTGCCGTGCACTACCTAGGAGTCCATTACGAGAACAGTCACAGTAGCATTAAGAAGCATAGATTTGACATCATGTTATTGCTATTCAAATCAATTTCTCATGAAGTAAGCAAGAGAAAAAAATGGATCAAAAGTGATCCAAAGTTACATTTACTTGTACCAGTGAATACAGTTAACACACCACAATCAAATATATATTTTAAATGTTTTGTTAAATTTCACTGAACATAATGTTTCGAAAACACAGATGACGGTGCGTTTAGTCAACACAGTCCCTCTCGTGTTCTATTGCTTAAAAATTGCTCAGTCCTACTTGTCCCTGTCCCGATACAAGTAGCTGTTCCAATAACCTGGCTTCTGACTCTTTCTGACTCTACAAAATACATCTTAACTACAATATTACACCACAGTTCCATCGAGGCTGAATTATTATCCACTACAGAATACAGGTCACCCAGGGAAAGGAAATTAGGTCGTAAGTGGAAAGGAATGTGTTTGTAGGAAGGGGACTATTTAACAGTGCCTCTTTCGTGCATTCTTATTGGCTGCTTCTGTTGCTTTTCTTCGCCCTATATCTACAGAATGCTGATGGAGCACAATATACAGTACACTTTTAGTGACAGCTAATAACTATGCTATGCAGAAAGGGACAGGTCTAGGTTCTTTTCCTTTGCGACTGCTGCAGATAGGCATTTAGTATCCAGGGTATTTTCACAAAGCAGAGTCTTGGCTCGAGAAGGCAGCTGGATTGGCAAACACACTTCTAAACTAAAGGCTCATACTCATTCAAGTGTCCACGAGATGACAGTGGTACTATCTTGGAAGCATTTTGTTTTTACCCAACCAAAACCGTTAGAAGAGTGCTCCATCAATCTGGAAATATAACATACAAATTTCTACAGTATGTGTGGCACAGAAAATATGGGTCTCTCGCCCACACGTACACTCACTTGGAAGTAAGTGGGAGGGGTGGGCCTGACCTATTACTATAAGGGACTCTAAGAGACACATAAGGGGCTAGTTCCAGAGGGGAAAATTGAAGCAGCATGGGTACACTATCTGCCCTCAGTAGCACTGACCCAAAATACACAGGGGCCAAATGAGGTCTGAGGGGGGCCAGTGCAGATAAGCAGCAGGTCCAAGAGCTCAATCGCCAGGCCCTTCTTCACAAATTAGGCCTGGGCCAGAGGAGATCACGGTGTCAGCAACTTGTAAAAAGATAGGTGTGAGCAGAAGCGGTTGGGATACTTGACATGTTTTCATTGTAGAGTGCTCTTAAGATGTGCTGCTCTGTATTTCTTTCAGATAGCATTTTTTGTAAATTGGAAAAACTTGGCAGGAGCTAGAGACATGCATGCGAACTCAAATACTTAACCATTCGAGATGTGAGGATTTGCATACTTAAATCACTATACGGGTATTTGTTGCGTTTCATCAAAGGAAGACGGAAAAAATATACAGATCAACAATTCAGTAAAATGGCAATTTTGTATTTTTACATTTTAAACCATATTATATTTTGCTACTGCGAAACACAAATGCAAGGGAGGGGCAGAGATAGCGCAGATCTTCTTGCTAAATAGGCTAGACTGATGTTAGAAACAAAACAATCTAGAAACAGTTAAACTATACTTCTCTTATAAACTAACATGTTGACACATCGCCCAGTCGAGAGGAACCAAAAAAAATAATAAAAAATAAATAAATACACCTGTAGAAAACGACAAGTCTCCATCAGCATCCAGCTTTGTGCTGGTTCGCTGTAGTTTTAGTTTATTAGCTCATCTAGCCGCCTCCGTTATTCTACTCATCCCACATGAAAACCTACAGACTTCCTTTTTTTTTGACTTCCTATTTTTAAATAATAAAAGAAGCTCTGAAATAATTTCTTTTGCATGATGTTAAATTTTTGTGTAACACTAGTGCTCCCAAACAGGTAAGCCACAGTTCTACGTTTATTTCAGCTGAAATCTGTTTTTTGTTGGGTGTCTCTCTCTCTCTCTCTCGCTCTCGCTCTCATTAACCCAGACATTAACAAGAAGGTTGAATATAAAGAAATGGCCTATGGCACATTTTTTGACCAATTTTTATTAGCCTTTCTTTTAAAACCCAAAGCTCACACTGTGTTGCATAAATGATCACATGAACACACACTAGCACATTTCCAGTGCTTTCGATTAGCCAATTCCATTAGCATCATCCGCTCTTTAATGGGCCAAACTGGCTTTTTTAATTCTTAAATGAAAATATCAGTTTCCTATTTAAATTGCATGTCAAATAAAGTAAGAGACAACTGGCTATTTTTCATAATGTATCATATCGAAGTATGGACATTTTGGCCACATTCAAAGACAGAACAAGTGAACTTGCTTGCTCACTTTATTTACTTCTTAAAACTGCAACACTGGTCAGGCAAAATAAAGAAAACAAAAACATGCACATAAATGAATGTACTAATATAAAACATGCAGACTTGTGGGTAGGCCTAACACATGCACAGAAATCTGAGTGCAAACAGCATTCAAACGTAATGCACAACCACTTGGCTAGCCAACTTTCTTCACAACATCATTACACAGATTGGACAAAATAAAAATAAATTGGATAAATTGCACATTGGGAACGAGCAGCAAGTGAGTCTGATCTTGTTCTAGTTTCACTCAAAATCTGAAGACAGAAACAAATGACTCTTGGTGGGTCTAGAATCACAGATCGGTAAGCTAAACTTGGGTCCTTGAAGACCACGATATCCACTTATACTTGCCATGCACCACTCTGATTACAGGGTACTAAGGTACAGGTACGTTAATGGGTAGGACTGCACAATAAGAACAGAAATTGTTATTACTTTGAGAATGTTATTATTTTGATTACTATTTTCAGTAGTTGGACCACAGCCTGAGGAATGCCAGCATGCCTGCAATTTGACAGCATGAGTCAACACCTAGAGTATGAATCATCAGAATTCTCATTTAAGTAATGTAATTGGTCAGCATGGTCAGGGTTTCTGCGCCTCATTTGCCAGTTATCAGTTTATATTATAAATATACATACACCCATCTGCCTTGTGCCGACGCTGCATTAAGTGCATACATCAAACTGTGACAATGATTAATGTGATTAACAGTGAAGGCGTTTTAATGATATCACTTTTAATACTCATGTTTAAAAAACTAAAACATGGTTGATGCTTTTCATGAGCTTAATAGCAAGTCCTTCTTGAGTCAGGACTGGTGTTCGAGGACGCTGGCTTAACAGACACAGTGTTTACTGCAACACACTGCATCCCCCATGCATAAAACTTCTGAGTGCAAACACAAACAGCTAACTGCTCTTTAGACTAGGGCCATGTCACATAAAGCATGATGTATGGCTTAAAATGGCTACTTTTAAGCTTAGTTCAATCTAACTCTGGATTTTCTGCTTCACGACGGTAGATCACTTTTTATCAGGACAGAGTACCACGGCAACTTCTACTAACATAATAGCCACAGTACAACAAAAAGTAACAATAAAATATGATGTTATGACTCAACGCCATACAACATGATGTGAATCAATATGATGCAATGTAATACAACATAAGTTGTATTGTCACTCTTTTAAAATTTAGGGATACTTAAGTGTGTGCAAACATCAACAGACCATCAAGGATGTGATGTCATTTGTCTATGGCCATCCTCCTCTGTGGTAGACCAGAGACTTTATGGGAGGAGACCAGTCACTGGTTGGAAAATGAATGGGAAAGCTAGTAACACTCATCATGGAGTGTGTTTATAGAGGACGTCCTGCCCTTCAGCAGAAACAGCCAATGAGCCTGCTGGTTATGGTGCAAGCGGGAAAAGCCCCCCCTCAGTTGCAGAGATCCGCGCAAACACAGTAGCCAGAACAGCCTGTTTTTTGTGTGTTATTGAGCCAAACGCTCCAAACTATTTGGGATTTTTGTTACATTTCACCAGTGATTTCAAATTTATTTTTTTAAATGATAATTTAGCCTTAAATGTTGTGTTTTTAGGTAAGTCTGTCTCCCCATTCAAAAAGAGAGGAGTCTGGTCTTGTATGACTCACATGCTGAGTTTTCTGTACTATAAAGTTAATTCGATACATACCCTGAAATCACATGCAGACACTCAAAACACTCCTACTGACATGGCTAAAATGAGATTTAGCTGCAAAGAAAGCTAACAAGTAGGCTAATGTGACTTCATATAAAGGGCATTGTCTATCAAAACGACTAGGCATTATGTTTTAAACACCAACAGTCATCTGAATGTATTTTTATGACGTCTATACAGCTTGAGTCTGAATGGATACAATGATAACATAGCCAAAGTCACATGACTCACAAATATAATGCACTTAATGCACATAGGGATCATGTGAATCACTTAATACGTAGTAATAATATAATATTAAGTTATAATTGTAGTGTCAGATTATGGCACAAACTGTCAGAATAGATCAAGAAAGTAAGATTTTCTTGGATTGTACACAACTGCAAACAATGCAGCTGCACTTGTTATCTTAAAGCACAGTGCAAACATACTGTCTCCAAGCGGGAGGGCATCTCGAGGTCAAAAGCAGCCCTTGGAAGTGTACTGTACACCTGATCAACCAATGTCATGCACAGGTGCAACAGCTAAGAATGAACACTACTTTCATAGCATAAAATAATTCTATGCAAACAGCAAGCAGAGTTGGACCATCACATAGGCCCAAAACAACACCTGCAGTACTGAAACATGTTCATCTAGGTTTAAATGAATGGTTCAGTTAAAAAAATTCACACAATTTTCTTCTCCTTGAAATATAGTCGATCAGCCAAGACAGGTTAACAGTATATCTTTTAAAGATTGTTTAATAGAAACTGTCTGTCTTTTATATGGTATGCATTGTTAATTTTTCTCTGGAGGTACAAGGCTAATATAACCAAGCTAACAGAAGTCTCTCACACATTATTTGCAGCTACATTAGCATCGGAGCTCATGTGCAAAACCAATGAATCAAACTTCAGACACTAAACGTGTCTTGGCTGACTAACTGCATTTAGGGTAAGGATACAACTGTGAGTTTAATTTTTCAGTGACCCATTCATTTAAGCAAAGAGCAGCCGTGAGGAGGAAGAGAAGGCTCATCAGACCCATTAGCTAATGCTAGCCTGCCTGCAAAGTGAATGAGAACATGTTTGACAGCCCTGTCTTCATATTTTCATGACTGTGTTCATAAACAATGACTAACATGTACATACACCGGACACAGTAATGAATGTGAGGAAGGTGGAGGGATATCGGTTGTGAGAATATACTGAGCAGCAGATGTTAGCGTTAACGTTAGCATGAACCTGAAGTTGGCTAGCTACCTATTCGCCAGCTTCTTGCTCGAATTATCCCGTTCCACCTTAAATGGTGCAGCAGTTACATCCTGACTGTAACTGCTGAGGCGCCAGAATGTCACTGCTGCACCATTTAAGGTGAAACTGGAGAATTCTGTTAAAAAACCGGCCAATAGGTAAACCGACTTCAGGCTCGTAGCGTTAGCCTGCTGTACTCACCATGTTGCTGCTGCTGCTGCTGCTGCTGCTGCGGGCTCAGCACCGACGGTCACTCTGAACACCCCGGGTCGGAAAGGCGACTGACAGCGCGGAGCACATAGGCCTGCTTTACGCTGCTGTTATTGGACAGCAATGGGTCAAGAGGCCAGTTTAAACCCACACGAACTGCCAACTTCACATTACTGTGCCCACCCTGAGCCCCCCACTCACTGTTTTCAACTGCAGTAGAGGTCACGCTGGGATTCCGCGTACTGAGCACACAGCGAGAACGCCTGCGGTGCGGTGTAAAACTATAGAGTTAATTTACCTTCAAAATGATCCATTTAACGTAAATGTATATCAGAAACAACGTCATACCATCACATATACAGAAAGAAAGATATTTATCTATTTATACTATATTTCGATTTGGCGGCACACAGGCAAATAAACAAGCTCCCATTCGTCAGCCAAAGGACCCATGTTCAGAGGCAGGCTCGAAAGCGCATGTGACGTTTTCCTACCGGTGTTTAAGAGGGGAGCGGTTCTCTGACTGACGCCGCCTTTAGTGTTTGATTTGGTTTCTTTGTCATAATGAAATATGTGTACATTTTCTTGGGAGCTGTCACTGTTTCTGTCGACATTTCTAACCAGCCAGTTCGTTACTTGTGTGATTCTACGACTGGGCTGACATTTAAAAGGGGAACTCCACCAATTTTTTTTCTTCCACAAAATTTCTGAATTATACAGTTTTTGCGCTGCAAACAGATTGACTGAGTGCCTTGACGTGAAATGGTTTATTGTATAAAAGCTTAGAGACTCGTTTCTTTACAGTGGTGGTGATAAGACCAAGAGGTCACGATGTCTACAAGACAAATAGCTAATTTATTTACTTTTGAAAACCACTGACTCTGCATGTGCCCTCTGAGTTTTTATATGTATTGTTGATGAAGGTAAAATAGTGGAAAATCTGTAAAAAAATATGTTTTCTATGGGAACTATTTTGCCATAAAACGCCCGCATGTACCCTTTCATCATGAATGGATTGAAATAAATGGTTTAAATTAGATTTTAAGCCAAACTTTATCACAGAACTATCATGAATCGATGTCTCAGACATCGGGGAGCATAGATCTAACCATTTCATGTAATAACTTGTGAGGGAGCATTCAGAGGCATTAAGCTCTTTGGACGTCTGGTTCCTATCACCACCACTGTGAACAATTCTGACTCTGTAAGTTTCTCTAGAATGGAGCATTACACATCAAACCTCCTGAATGACTGTTCACATCTTAACTGTTTAATTATGTAGAAGTTGGAGCTCCACTTTAACTCTTGTAACCTGTAACTTGTATAGTAAACGTCATTTATCATTTTTCAAGGAAAAATGCATTTAATCACTGAAAAATGTGTTAACTCATCCAGGAACTAGGCATGTCAGAATTATGACAATCATTTCATCACAATTATTTGAGGCAATCTCAATGATTTAAGCCGACTGCAGTCATTTTTCACAGTCATAGTAAGTCACAGTTTGTTGGGTTGAGGCAAATAAAAGTAAATTAAGCGATAAATGCATTTATTGAGACATCATGGAACTTATGAAAACAAAAAAGTTCTAACTTGAGCTTGGTGCTCCAAAATGTTTAAAGGGCAGTGTGAGTAATGTTTACTTGTTGGGTGTGTTTTTAGCATGTATGCTAACAGAATGAGTGATTTTTGCTTTTTACTCAGGAAAACAAAAGTATAGCTATGATTAACTTTACACATGATTCTGTGTAACTGATTCATTTGTGTCTGTCATTTTATGTCAGTACCGGCGGTGTTAGCTACGAAGCTACACATGTAATCAGCCAATTTAATAGTTGCATACAATGAAAAAGAAAAGACAAATCTTTAATCCCAATGATTTACATGACAATTCATCATCAGATAAATTTGCATGATAGGGACAGCTGTCAGGAACCTCATTTTTTGCAAGAGTTCTTTGCTGACAATGGCTAATAAGTTAATGGGTGACACTTGGAAATAACAGGCTTTAGGTAATTTTACCATATAATTTTTTAATACACAAAATGTGGTTACCTGACATTCTCTCAAAGTCACCCCCTCAAACAATATCACACTATTATTGAAAATAAAGAAAAAGAACTTTTCTTCTTTCCACAATCTGTTGAATATGTGACTTGCATAGTATTCAGATATTTCGATTGTGAATGTGTTCCAGTAAGATGGTAGAGTGAATGTTATGTGATGCAACCAAAAGAACATTTTCCGTAACCTAAAGTGGATATAAAAAGTATACACACCCATTTTTATTTTTTTTTTTGAATGAAAATAAACATTTTCCATCTATTCCATTATTTTTTTCCTTGGACTGTGTAGTCTAATATAAGATTCTGATGAAACATCTACAGAATTGTATTGTTTAAAGGTACAAATCAGATATAATATACAATATCATATGTAAAGAATATCAAAAAGCATTGGAATGTACCATAGAGCACTATGACGATTCTTACCAATATTACTGACCTCTTACACTCCCTCTTGCTCTCTCAAGTCTTCCTGTAATTACTTGCTGTCCCATGCACTAGACTTTCCACTTTGGGACGTAGGTCCTTCAGTGCCATGGCCCCCAAACTCTGGAAGTCTCTTCCTTGATTCCTCCATGACTGTGCTTCTTTTTCTACTTTTAAATATGATTTAAAGACTTTTTTCTTTACTGCTTAGTCTTAACTTCTTTTTTTTTAATTCTGTGTTATGTAAAGTGATCTTGGGATTGTGAAAGGTGCAATATAAATGTAACATTATTATTATTATTACCACCAATAGGTGGGAAAAAACAGAACCACTGGGACTTTGCCAAGGGCAGAGAAATCCTCAAAAGATGATGACGGGACAAGAAGAAACCTCTTCAGGGAGGCTACTGTAAGCTACATTTTAAAAAGCTGGAAGTAGAATTTCTGGCAGGTTCTGTCCATTCCTTGCATGTGTTGACAACCCCCCATCTGTATAAAGGGTGTAGCCAAAAAATGGAAGCCATTTTCACAAGAAAAAATCAACCAAAGCCCTTCTGATGAGAGAAAGTTTGAAATTTTGGTCGTGAATTCTTAAAGTTATATGTTGTGTGCAACAACAACACAGCTTATTGACAAAACAACACCATACCTCCTGTGAAGCATGGTGGTGGGAGCATCATTTTTTGGGGCTGCTTCAACTATCAATATATTTTGGCACAAAACCTGCTTGCCCTATTTGCCCTTCTAACATAATAATGATCCAAATCCAGCATCCAAATCAACCAAGGAATGATTTCAAACATCAATCCCGTTGAAAAACTGTGGAATGACCTAAACAGGACTTTACACAGATCACCTGACAATTTGAACTGTTTGGCAAGAAAGAGTAGGATACATTTGCTAAGTCTAGGTGTAAAGATGTAAAGAATGGGAAACCACAAAAATAGGTCAAAGCACGCTAAAGACAGAACTGGAAACCACTCAGTATGCAACTGGAAATACAGCAATACTTCAAACAAAGAAGTATTTTTACAGACAAGCACAGGTGAATCAAATTAGAACTGTACATGAGGTACATCTTACAAACTGTCCTTGACAGGGTGATAGAGGGCGTATGTCTATGATGTATTGGTCTGTGGGATTGTGGGAAATGGAGTTCTGAGAGTCACTTGGATTGAAGGATGAATCCAGAAGCGTGACAACTATATCCACTATGTAACGGAAGACTCCTGAAAACTTATGCTTCAAGTATGAGATGTTGAATAGATTCACATATTAATGCAAGAATAATAAGACTTAGTGCTGTAGATAGATTTTCAATGTTCACAAATGGCATCTCAATCATGGAGTCACCCAGTTGCAGATTTGATGCTTCTTGATGGCTGACATTCTCCAAATCTTACAATGTCTAGTTAGAGAGGATAGCACAAGCTGTTAAGTGTCAGAATACATCTAGGGTTAGGGTTAGGGTTGCATGTTGCATCCTTAACATGTTTACATGTTTACATCCTTAACATGTTTACATTTTTACAATGACATGAGAAAATCAATCTGTCCCAAGTTCCATCAGATACTTTTCCCCTTAATTTTACATGATCAGATAGCCATGTGGATCCATATGCTAGTCATCCATCCATCCATCCATCATCTAAACCGCTTATCCTTCTGGGTCACGGTGGGGTGCTGGAGCCTATCCCAGCTGTCATTGGGCGGAAAGCAGGATACACCCTGGACAGGTTGCCAGTCCATTGCAGGGCAGACAGACAGACATACATACACAGTCACACACACACACTCACCCCTAGGGGCAATTCAGCATGTCCAATTAGCCTGACTGTATGTTTTTGGACGAGGAAACTGGAGTACCTGGAGGAAACCCACGCAGACAAGGGGAGAACATGCAAACTCCACAAGAAACGACCCTGGTCACCCGGCCGGGAAACGAACCCAGGCCCTTCTTGCTGTGAGGCGACAGCGCTACCCACTGTGCCACCGTGCCGCCCCATATGCTAGTCAGCTCTGCTGAAATATTTACTGAGGCCATGGGCTACAGATCAGACAAAAGTTCTCCATTAAAGTTCCAGTGTGTGTTCAATACTCTCAGCTCACACTTAATCGGGTTGTACACAACAATACACGTATTTTCAGGTTTGATGGTATTTCCAATTCTGAAGTAAAGATCTGATCCTAATTTACGTGGTAAAAATTTCTTCACAGATTGATCTGGCTCAGAATAAGCCCCCAAAGTCCTTACAACAGTCTGAACAGTCCTACTCCGAAGTAAAGTCATCATTTTGTAGCTGGTGACATGCACATGCAAAGAACTCCAGATCTAAACTTTCTCTACCTACGGGAAAAATAAATGGCGTTCTGGAAAATCAATAATATCACCTGTGGTATACAGTAATGTTCTAAATTTGCATCCTATGTACACTTTTCTTCCAAATGTCACAGGATCCTCTTAATTATGAGGTTGTTAAATAGTCAAAATATATAATTATAGCTACATACCAAGCTAACCCTGGTGCACACTGAATTCACAGAAGTTTAATAAACTTGCCAAAATACCCCTCGCAAACCAGCAAGTCGTGCCAGTTGTGGTGGTTAAGTTGCTTTGGCAGTGGTAGGCTACAGTTTCATAGAGTCAAAGCACAGTATTGAACTTACTTTCAATGTGCAGGACAGTTAGCTTGCTGTATCAAGACTACTAGTAGACTCCGACTACTAAACAAACTCATAATTCAGAGGATCCAGTAACACTTGGTGGGAAAGTGTATGTAGGACAAAGTATACAGGCTTTGGAACATTTTTATTTACATGTGGG